ATGCAGTTAGGGGAATTTGATATAAATGTGTTCATGGCTCACCATCGCGCGTTAGGTAGAATTGGCTGCAGATTTTATCATGCCCATCACTTATTTAATTTGTATCTCTTATGAAATACAGCCTAAACTATTGGGCTTCTTTGGTATCTAACGTGAAAGAGCCCAAGAGTTTTGCAGTAGCAGGACAACCTTATAAAAGACCATGTCTTGGGCTGATGCCAGCACTGTCGCTCAGACGTTGCGCACTGATGCCAGCACTGTCGCTCAGCACAGGCTCACCCAGGCTCCACTCCATGCCCCGCAGGGTGCTGGGTGCTGGGAAGGCGCAGGCCAATGGCTCTTGACCTCGGGCTGCTGCAGAGGCTGGTCACTCGTGGGGCTTTGGATTAGGGAGTTCAGACCTGGGCAGGGGCTGTACTGGGTGATCTTTAAGATTTCTTCAAAAGCCCTGGTCTGTAACTCTGGCAGTGGGTTAGTGGTTGAAACTAGAAAAGAAAGAATAGGGATGGTTGTTAAAAATAAATGAGTGTGCCTGCCATTATTTAAGGTGTGTCTGAAGTTAGAGACAAATAGAAATGAAGAGGTGCCGGGTGGGTCAGGAATGAAAATAAAACTCATTTTTACAAATCAGACTGTAGGGTTTTAAAATGAATTTGATGATCAGAATTGAGTCAGATTTCAACCAGAGTCTTTGAAGAGGTATATAAGTGCTTGATACTCTGAAGATTTGAGATTACAGTATCCATACTAGGAAAAACTTAAATTGGTAAATCAAATTTGGTAATTTTAGTTAAAATATATGGAAACAGACTTGGTACCCATAGCTCAGTAGTTAGTCCTGGCCCAGGCCTGCCCAAGAAACAATGACAACTGCAACCAAAAAAGAGCTGGGCATTGTGGTTGGCACCTATAGTCCCAGCTACTTGGGAGGCTGAGGCAAGAGAATCTCGCTTAAGCCCAAGAGTTTGAGGTTGCTGTGAGTTGTGATGCCATGGCTCTCTACCGAGGGCAACATAGTGAGACTGTCTCCAAAAAAAAAAAAAATATGGAAACAAGTGATTTCTTGGGTAGTACATCTAGAGTTGTTTCAGATATGTGACTTACTTAAAGAGAAAGCTTGCTTATTTCCTAAATAATGAGTTTAACAAACAACTTTTAGAAAGTATGTTTGCATTTAATTAGAGCTTTTAGATTTCATTTATTAAAGTAAATTTAACACTTCTTTGGTTAAACAGTATTAGGGCGCAAAATATTCTGCCCATTCAGTTACTTTTTAAGCGCTATGTATTTTTTAAAGCTAACCTTTTTCATGAATTCTGAAATGTCTTAGGGTGGCTCACAGCTGTAGTCCCAGCACTCTGGGAGGCTAAGGCTGGAGGATCTCTTTAGCCTAGGAGTTTGAGGTTGCTGTGAGCTATGACGCCCATAGTACTGTAGCCTGGGTGACAGTGAACCTCTTTCTCAAAAAAAAAAAAAAAAAAATTAAAAAAGAAAAATAAATGTCTTAGGTAGTTTTGAATCTAAGTGGTATACTCAAGACTAAATATCAATTACTATAGTCTGTCGAGTTTGGGTAGGGAGCAATTGAGATATATTATTTTTCCTGGCCTGTGCAAAGCCCCCAGATTATCTTGTGTTTTGAAGCACTGTGAGTGTCTGTAATTCTCCTCTCCCCTTAGGCTGTCGGTGGCCCTGGCCTGCTCACTTAGGGTTTCTGTTGCTGGAAGTCAGTCCCTTCCTAATTCACTGTTAGAACTAAGCTGTGTGTTGAGAAACCTATGTGAACAAGAGGTTGGTTTGTAAGTAGGCAATTGAATTTTCCCAGATCCTTTTTTAAATCAGAGCTGTGAGATTTATTTCAATCTTTAGAATATTTGATCATTCTTGCAAGGTGTTTAAGTGAAAATTCTATTCTTACATATATTTTATAGTTCCTCATTGAATACGCAACTAGTAAATCCTTTTAAACTACTACGCTTTAAAATTCTTTGAGACAGGTCTTTCCTTGCCCAATTATTCTTAAAAACCTGTATCTCCCACAAGTATAAATTACTGTGTTTTATTTTTGGCTTTCATTTGGCCTTGTTGTCCCCTGATTGGTAAGTTGTGTGAAGTGTGTTCCAGGAGCTGTTTCCTACCTGTTTATTGGGGGCAGTGGGTTACCTGTCACGTCTCCTAGATTCTTCATCCTCACTGGTTTTCTCCATTGCCAGGATTTCCCTGATCAAACCATTCACAGTTCAAAATTGATTTTGCTGTGATGACAACTGGTCACACACCTGTCTCTTCTCCCCTCCTGTGTCTGCTGGGCTGTGAGGTGGCCCCGCCCTACCCTGGGGCTGCAGGTGGACAGTGTGAGGGGGCCCCGCCCTGCACTGGGGCTGCAGGTGAACAGTGTGAGGGGGCCCCGCCCTGCACTGGGGCTGCAGGTGAACAGTGTGAGGGGGCCCCGCCCTGCA